TTGGTACATGAATTTTTCCCCGTCCCCTCCACATTTAGCCCTCCAAGTATCTTGGGCCCCCATTGGGGCCAATTCTCCCAATCTATCTCCTTTTGGTTAAAATCACCCCCTGATCAGGACTTTGCCCTGCATGCATGAGCTCTTCGCCCCCTACCAGTGTGTCAACCATCGCTCTATTGCCTCGTGTACTCTGCCCTTGGCCTCCTCTGTTCTGTGGTGGGTTTTACATCACTGCTATTTCCACCTTGGGGGCCCCCAGATGAAGTGTTCCCACATGTAATCACTTTCTTCTCCGTATCTTTCTCTCTCCAGCTCATCAAAATTCCCGCGATTTTTGATCAGCAAAGCCATCCTCCACCCCCCCTGTTCCCTCTGTCTTTTTCCCCAGGATTTGGTATCCCTTTGGGAAAAATGGCATCTGTTATCATACCTGTAAGCTTGGTTTCTTTTAGACTTGATGTCGGTGTCTTCTTTGACTCTTTCTTGCCACCCTCCCCCTTTTTTGTTTTCCATCAGGTTGTGTACCATACCTTCAGTTTCCTTCCAAACGTGGTTTGGGGGGCCTTGAGGGTGGGGGGACCTGGGGCATACTTGGGGTTTTATGCTTGGGGTTGGTTGAGGCGTGGTTTGGGTTGTAGGGGTTGTTGGGGTGGGGTGATAGGTTTTTGGTTCGAGGTATTTTGGGGTGTGCTTGCCCTTCTGTTCTGTCCTTCTGCTGACCTTGCTGGTTCCCCCTTGTCTCTTTTCCAGCTCCTTTTGCTTTTTTGCCTCTTCCCCCAGCTGCTGTCGTTTTGATTTTGTTCTGTCTCGTCTAGGAACACCCTCTTGACTCTTTTCCCAGATTTCAACGGGTTTTTTTGGGGGATCCGTTCCGCACTGTTTCCGCCGAAATCCCGCTTGATTGGCGGTTTCTCACCTTCGAGTACCCCCCTTTTCTCTGAAATTTACAATTTCTCGTCCCTCTTCACCTATTTCTGTTATGATTTTCTAAATTCCTTTCTTCCTGCTTCCTTTCAGGTGTGTCCTTTTTCCCCCTCTCCTGAAGCCCATGGATAAACACTGATTTTTCCTTTCTTCCTCCATTGCCCCACCCTCTGTGGCCCGGGTCCTGCCTGTGTGTGGTCAGTTTCTCCCCTTGTTTTTCCAGTGGCTCTTGATAGCCTTGTTGTGCCTCAGCTTCGCCTACACCCCTCCATCTGCAACCAGTTGATCTTCCCTTTCACTCCTTGTCCCCTTGGGAGATTGATGTGGCCTTGCAAAATTCTAATTCCTTTTCCTTCCCGTTTAGCCCGCAGCTTCATAGCTGTTGTGTGTGTGTGTGTGTGTGCAGTGTGTGTGTGTGTGTGTGCACAGTGTGTGTGTGGCGGTGTGGTGTGAGTTGTGTGGGTGTGTGTTTTTGTTTTTGTGTGTGTGTGTGTGTTGTTGTGTTGTTGTGTGTGTGTGTGTGTGTGTGTGTGTGGGTGTGGGGTGTGGTGGTGGTGTGCAGTGTGTGTGGGTTGTGTGGCAGTGTGGTGTGTTTGTGGCAGGTGTGTTGGTGTGTGTGGGTTTCAGTGTGGGGTGTGTGTGTGTGTGTGTGGTGTGTGTGTGTGTGTGTGGGGTGTTGTGTGTGTGGTGTGTGTGGTGTGTGTGTTGTGGGTGCAGTGTGGTGTGTGGCAGTGGTGGTTGCTGTGTGTGTGGTTTTGCGTGTTTGTGTGTGGCAGTGTGTGTGTGTGTGTGTGTGTGTGTGTGGTGTGTGTGTTGTGTGTGGTGTGTGTGTTGTTTGGTGTGTGTGTGTGTGTGTGTGTGTGGCAGTGTGTGTGTGGTGTGCACACAAGTGTGTGTGTGTGTGTCACGCATTTGGTTGTGTGTGCACACTGTGGGGGGTGTTTCCAGCATGTGTGTGTGCATGAGTGCATCATGCTCATCGTTGTGTGTGTGTGCGCGTGCTGTGAGGCATGCTTTCGCAAGTTTTAGTGGTTTATGATAGCCTCTCTGTTCCCCTCCCAGGTAACTTCCCCTTTACTATGCTTTTTAAAAGTATCCATCCCCTAGCCATGTCTTTGAAGGTCCTTTTCCCTTTCCCGTGTCTCACTATGTCCCTTTAAAGCTATTCCGACCCTAGTATTCCTTCCCTCATGTGCTTAAACAGTGTTCCTTCCCTCACTGTGCTTAAACCCTAGTGTTTTCCCCCACTGTGCTTAAACCCAAAGGTTTTCCCCCCCATACCTAAACCAGGCCCTCCCCCTCCAAAGCCTTGTTATCACTCCTTGATGAAATCCCACTCTCATCACCCGATTCATCAGTAAGAGGTCAGCCCATGGCAGCAAAGTCTTCTCTTTCTTGCTTGGTCCTCGTCGGGCTAGAGGCCCCAAACAACCGGGACCCTGTGTTGACGCCTTCACCCGCCACGCTTTTCCCCTGATCTGAAACCACACACACTTTTAACTGGGGCCCAACAGGCCTTTTTGTATTCACCCTACTCAACAAAAAAACCTGCTATAAATGCCCTGTATATTCACAACCCAAACCCCAAATGCTTAAAATAGTCACGAGATTAAGTCATCAAGCGATCACTCGAAAGGCATTGGGGAAAATTTTTTACGTATTCACAAGTAAGTGCCCGCCCATATGGGCCCCGGCAAAAGCAAATTTTTCTTTTTTTTCAGCATGCAATGATCATCAAAAAAATTCAAGAAATCTATGTACGTTGGGAAAAAATTGCATTTACAGTGGACCCCGGGGTTAACGTATTTTTCACTCCCCGAAATATGTTCGGGGCCCGTACACCGAAATTTTTTCCCATAAGGAATTTGTGAATTTTGATTAGTCCATTTAGACCCCCAAACATACACAAAAGAAAGACTTACATAAATACCTTACTATTTGGGCGCATTCGAGGTAATCGTTATGGGGGGTCCACTGATTTTTTTTGATTTTAAAGAAAATTTTGATGAAAGATCCTAAAAAAAAAATAATATAGAAACTACAGATATGGGGAAAAACAGATGAATATTTTTGTGGATGAGATATTTCCCTTTTTAAAGGAATATCGAAGTTATATGTAACGTAAAAAGTTCCCCCAAAAAAAAATATCACAATGGGGCTTTTCAAAAGGATCTTGTTTTCCTGATATGTTTCTAATACTGTTTAGAAAAAAAACCACACTTTGGAAGGAAAAATTTTTAAAAAATTTGTATATATATGACAGAATGAATAAAATGTTCCATACATAACAAGTTTATGGGGTTTGCAAAGACCAACCAAAAAAAAAATAAAAAGGGGCTAAAAACCTTTTAAGAGATTTTGGGTAAATTAATAAATGAAGTGAAGTAACAGACATACATAAGGGAATGTTTTTAAATAAGTAGAGTAAAGAAGGAGGGAAACAAAATCAAGTCTCCCGAGACAAAAATTTGGGACCAATCAAAACAAAAACTTTAAAAATGATATGCTAAATGGCAAAATTTAACACAGCATTCAGATATTAGAAGGAAAGTTCTAAAAAAGTTTTCACAAATTTTGTTAGGTCATAACTGTAATAGAGAAGTGGGGTGGTGTTTGCACCTTGAAGACAAGGAATAAGAAGAAAAAGCTATGAAAAACGATAACAATAACTGATCTCAGGTTCAAATGGGGTCAAAAAAAAATACGTATTACTTTTCACATCAGCAGGGAAAAACACATGCCCACATTTGAAAGCGAGGAAACCCGTACAGTATTTAGAAGGAACTAGAAAATGTTTATAACAGAGTGGGAGAAAAAGGCACAGGATCTAAAAAGATTACCGAGCTAATGCGACAACTACTTAATTTTTTAAAAATGAAAATTTAACATTTAAGATGGGCTGCACCAAACACAGCCTATAAGTAGTTTCTTAAAGGGAATCCCAAAAGTAATTACAAAAAGGTACATACCCCCCATAATTAAGTATAATCATTCAATAATCCAAAAGAGTCAAATACAAAAAACCCTAGGGTAAAAAAAAAAAAAAATCTTAAAAATGCAAAATATTGTATAATACAACAAATATAAAAAAAGAACAGAGAGAGAAATACCATAGTTCTTGTACAAGATAATTGCAGATGCCCCAGTGAAGCATTATATCCCAAAAACCCCAATTTACTATTTAAACAATAAAAATAAAAGTTGGTAACCTACCCCAGTATTTAAATGCATCGACCTAAAGTAATGGGTTGCACTTTTCCCACTTACAACCCTACTGCAAGAGGTGACACGATCCCCAGGGGCCGTCACAAAAAACTTGAGACTCAGGAAGTTTAGCAAATGGCCTTTCATTTTAACAAAAAAGTGATCGTACGTACGACATCAAGTTTCAATTTCATCAAGAAATGTGATATTACAGCATTTTCATTTTTTTTACAGAAAATATGAAAAAGACCTGAACTTTAAAATTGCAATCATGAGTGTATGCTTCCTTTGGGTTAGATTTCCGCATACATAAGATTACATTTGATAAATTTGACACAAAGTGCAACTCTTGGGATCTTATTTAGGGAAAATTTCGCCCACAGTGGGTTCATCATCCAAATAGGGGGAAACTTAAAGAACAGGAGAAGAATAGGTAAAAGTCCCTCAACCTTGAGTCGATGTGTTCAGTCCCTCAATCTATTCTATTCAAGATTGATGGACTGAACACATCGACTCAAGGTTGAGGGACTGATTACCTCATTCTTCTCCTGTTCTTTAAGTTTCTCCTACGTATGGACTGATGAAGCCACTGTGTGGCGAAACGTTTCCTCAATAAAGATACCCAAGAGTTGCACATGTGTCTAATTTATCAACATGTCGGTTCTCTGAACCATTCATCTACAAAAGTATTACATTATCTAATCAAAATTCAAATAATTAATCATCATAATGCACGTATCCACAGCAGTCATAATAAAAGTTTTAATTAGTGACAGTCATTACAGTTAATTCCTCAAAATCATATACATTTTTTATAATTTCATGCAATTTACTAACAGCTATTATAAGGTAATATTAAAATATCCAAAAATTATACTGTATGCCAGTACAGTATGTATTTATATTAGCAAAGCTTCTTGCAAACAAGAGTACCTGAGCCTTCCTTATGTAAGCAAGAGGTTCTTTGAGGACATGCCTTGGGGTATCAGGGTTGGCCAGAAGGGTTGGCTGAACATGCATCAGGTGGTAGAGGGCATTGCGGAGGCGGGTGTCAAGTGAGCTTCCCTGTGCCCACTCATAACATTCACTGCCAAACCTTTCTGTGCTGAAATTCTGTGTTGCCATCGTTGTCTGCAGTGTGGAGAATTAATACACAGCGTAGTATACAATAATGTTTATTGACTTAACAAATAAAATATTCTGATTATTCTCAGACAGTCTATTCAGGGTGTGTAGGAGAGAGGGAGATTACTTTCCAGTAAAAGTAGGCCTTAGACAGGGATGTGTAATGTCACCATAGTTGTTTAACATATTTATTGGATAGAGTTGTAAAAGAAGTAAATGCTAGGGTGCTGGGGAGAGGGGTGGGATTAAATTATGGGGAATCAAATACAAAATGGGAGTTGACACAGTTACTTTTTTGATGATGATACTGTGCTTTTGGGAGATTCGAAAGAGAAAGTCGACAAGTTCGGGAGGGTGTGTAAAGAAAGAAAGCTGAAAGTAAACACTGATAAGAGTAAGGTGATGAGGGTATCAAACAAGTTAGGTAAAGAAAAAGTGGATATCACTGGTGGGAAGGTGTATGGAAGAAGTGAATGTGTTCAGATATCTGGGAGTAGATTTGTCAGCAAATGGGTTTATGAAGGACAAGGTTAACCATAGAATTGCTGAAGAAAAAAAGATGAGTGGTGCACTGCGGTATCTGTGGAAACAAAAAACATTATCCATGGAGACTAAGAAGGGAATGTGCGAGAGTATAGTGGTACCAACACTCTTAAATGGGTGTGAAGCATGGGTTGTGAATGCTGCAGCAAAGAGGAGGCTGGAGGCAGTGGAGATGTCATGTCTAAGGGCAATGTGTGGTGTAAATATTGTGCAGAGAATTTGTCATGTAGGTAGTAGGTTGGTAGACAGCAGCCGCCCAGGGAGGTACTACCGTCCTGCCAAGTGAGTGTAAAACGAAAGCCTGTAATTATTTTACATGATGGTAAGATTGCTGGTGTCCATTTTTCTGTCTCATAAACATGCAAGGTTTCAGGTACGTCTTGCTACTTCTACTTACACTTAGGTCACACTACACATACATGTACAAGCATATATATACACACCCCGCTGGGTTTTCTTCTATTTTCTTACTAGTTGTTGTTCTTGTTTATTTCCTCTTACCTCCATGGGGAAGTGGAACAGAATTTTTCCTCCGTAAGCCATGCGTGTTGTAAGAGGCGACTAAACTGCCAGGAGCAAGGGGCTAGTAATCCCTTCTTCTGTATATATTACTAAATGTAAAAGGAGAAACTTTCGTTTTTCCTTTTGGGCCACCCCACCTCGGTGGGATACGGCCAGTGTGCTGAAAGAAAGAAGAAGAATTTGTCATGTGGAAATTAGGAGGTGTGGAGTTACAAAAAGTATTATTCAGAGGGCTGATGAGGGGTTATTGAGGTGGTTTGGTCATTTAGAGAGGATGGAATAAAACAGAATGACTTGGAGGTTGTATAAATCTGTAGTGGAGGGGTAGGGGTCGTCCTTATTAAGGATGAAGGGAGGGGGTAAAAGAGGTTTTTTGTGCAAGGGGCCTGGACATGCAGCAGGCATGTGTGACCATGTTAGATGGGAGTGAATGGAGATGAATGTATTTTGGGACCTGACAAGCTGTTGGAGTGTGCAGGGTGAAAGGATTCACGGAAACCGGTTAGTTGGACCTGATTCCTGGAGGTGGGAAGTACATTGCCTGCACTTTACAGGAGGGGTTTAGGATATTGGCTGTTTGGAGTGACATCTAAACTGTTATATCTGGGTACCTCTGCATGATGGTGAAAGTGTTGAATGATGGCAGAAGTGCTGAATGATGGTGAAAGTGTTTCTTTCTTTTTTGGGTCACCTTGCCTTGGTGGGAGATGGGTGAAGTGTTAAAAAATCTACGTAAAAATAAGTTAGCAGATGTCTAACTTTTTTTTTGTTTCGTTTCTACAGACTTAATTTTTACTGAGTAACAGCTGTTATCCTACCTTAGCTCATTTCAAAGCCTGGACATAGCTATAGAAGACCCCTTCCTCCCCACATGGAAAAAATTAACAACAGTCAACCAAAACCCAGAGGCCATTTTTTTAACACCAGCTGTTTCATACCCAGGCAGGGTGACCAAAGAAGAAAATACTGTTACATATTCAATCACTATTGTGCCAGAAAGGCACCAACAACACAGTTCATACAAAGCTCCAAACTGCAACATCCAAACCCCTCTTTCCAAATGGAGATACTGTACTTTCCACCTCTGGTACTTGAGCTTGGCTAACTGGTTTTCCTAAATTTCTTCATAAATGTTACCTTGCTCTCACTCCAACAGCATTATCAAATCCTAAAATCACTTGTCTCCACTCACTCCTATCTAACATGCTCACACAAGCCTATTTTTAAACAAATAAGGACTGCAGCTATAAGGAGGGTTACCCATATATTTTCCCCTGCCCAGAAATTAAGCATGGAACATTTTAAGAAAATAAATTAATGATTTGCCTCTTTGTGCCTTCTCAATGTACCCAGTTTTAGCAAATTTATGGAAAAATATGAAATACAGTGGACCCTCAACTAACGATATTACAGTAATTGGTACCCGAGAACGAATATCGTTAGTCGAGTTTTTTTAGCGTTAGTCGAGGCAAAATGTTAACATTAAAATGTATCGCTAGTTGGATTTAACGTTATACGATGCTATCGTTGGTCGAGGGTCCACTGTATATTGGCTACTCATTTGTTTGAAAAGTTTTCTTGAACTGATTTAGTACATTACAATACAGTATAGTGTACCTGGAGTATACCTGGAGAGGGTTTCAGGGATCAATGCCCCCATGGCCCAGTCTGTGACCATGTAGTATATAGTATATATAGTATATTTTTTGTATCATGCGAAGTTCACCTTTTTTTTAATACATTCTTTTGTAGATGAGTGTAACGTATCACATTAAGTGACACATTCTGCCCACAATGTAACTTGTTAAGTCTCACAATATCCTACAACATGAAATGAATGCATTACTGAATTAAAGTTATCTTCCTCATGTTAACTGCTTTAACTAACGTACAGTATACATACAATGATTTTAGATAGGATGCTCATCCAATGTTTCAAAGTCAGAGCAATTAATTATTAGTAAATATGTGTTGTTAGTAGCTCCTCATACCTGGACATCAGCAAGAAAGTCAGCATAGAAGGGTGTGTTCTGAAGTTCTGATGCCAGCCTATTCACAATGGCTGTGATGTTGGTGCCTAGCTCATGGCGAAGCATCCTGAATGAGTGGACCTGTGAATAAGACAGATACACAATGTAGATTGTGAACAACAGATCAGTGACACCCAACATGCTATAAAGAACAGATAAAAGATATCCAACAAACCTTGACTAAAAGAAGAGGAGCATTTCAGCAGGTCTACTGGCCCACTGTAAGCAGCAGTAGTACAAGAGTAAGGAGGGTAAATGACAGTATATCTCAAGATGGTGGCAACCAAAGCAACTCCATACCCTAACACCTGTTCCCAAGAGGTAGAGGAACACTGTTGTATTCCTACTGGTCCATGCTAAAAAAACAAGGAAGCAAGACAAATTACAGAGAGAAGACAAATTACAGGTTAAAAGAAAAGGAGAGGTGGATTCAAAGGTTAGTTCAGGTCATAAGTGTTCTGATGATTACAGCATTTCACAATTTACTGAGAAAAGCAGGCATTTACTTGAACAAAACAAGGACCAAGATTCACCTTAAGAATGTTCTATATAAGGGCTGATTTTTACATGACGGTATCTGTGATTTGTAGCCGTGAAGGCTAGAAGAAGGGTGTACAGTCTTAGCAGAGGACTAGTGAACTGGATGACCATGATCTCTAACATGACAGTAAAGCCAAGAGAATTCTTGGCTTCATATCAAGATGTATAAATAACCAAAATTCTAATGTTATACAGTATTGTCCTTCAACTTTATATAACTTTGTAAGGCCTCATTTAGATTATGCTGCTCAGTTCTGGTTTTCATATTACAGAATGGACATAAATATGAATAAAAGGCACTAAAATGTGGAACCCTGCCTGAAAATTCCAAAGGTTCCTATCCACCAACCATTTCAAAGCTACTGTTAAAAAATCACCCACTTTAATCTGTCACCTAGATGTACATCATTGATGCCAACATAGATCTATGTTTTAAGCTAAGTTCCCTCAACTAAGCTGCTACCAATAAATTTTGGCCTGGAAGTATGGTTATTTAGGTACAGGTACACATAAATACAGTTACGCAAATTATCATGCATAATAACATATGTAAATTACCTAGGATAACCCCAGAAAATCAGACTGGACATAAGAGGATGGGTTTGTGAAGTGAATCTGCACAGTATAAATATAACAGTGCCCCTCACACTGTGCATCTGGGAAAAAGTGAACCTTGGAACCTGTGTTTGGTATAAAATAACAAGTCTGAGGTGTTTTCTAGAATAATTTTTATGGTTTTATTGGCTGTTTCTTGGTCTTGGATTATTATTATTATTATCATGGGGGAGTGCTAAACCTGCAGGATTATACAGTGTCTGTGGGGGGAGGGATGGAAGGTATTCAGGTTTAATTCAGGGAACTGGAACACAGATCCAATTCCCTAGATCAAGAGCCCCTCACCAGCATCAAGGAACTTTTCTTGAGTGGTCTTGGTCTTGGAGCTTTTGGTCGTCTGAGCAAGACCTTCCACTGGCTTACCTCTCTACCAATTGAAAAATTAATATTCTTAGTTGTTTAGTTGATTTTGTGTTGCACATGTGCCATAGGTAAGTCAGGGCAGATTAAATTGTATTATTACAATCATAACCAAGCTGTAAACCTACAGGGGTCAGACAGCAGATTAAATAGATAATAAAAAAGAAGCGCTAAACCACAAGGGTTATATAGCGCAGATTAAATAGAATAAATCGTGTTTATGTACAGCAATTACTTCTGTATGTACTATAATTGACCTTATATGGATACCATAGCTACGTTTATATATGTACTGTAATTATTTCTTTCTCTCTCTCACACATATATATATATATATATAATATATATATATATATATATATATATATATATATTATATATATATATATATATATATATATATACATACATATTCACTGTATTTACCTCTCTATGTCGGATAATTCACCTAAATAAACTGAATTAAAATATCACCACTTGTTTACCAGTGTTACCTAGCAACCTCCTGGGGATACACTCTTTCATTATTATTGATAATGATAACTCTTACTAATACTACAAAAAAAAATTGTCAATAAAAGTAATAGTAATGATAATTTTTATTTCCACAAGGTACATAATTATTACAAAATTAGATGACATTTGATAGATGATCAACTGAATAAGTAGAACATTTCTGGCGGCAAAATTAAAACTCTTAGTAAGTAAGTAAGTAAGTTTATTCAGGTATACACAAATACAGTTACATAGAATTATCATACATAGCAGCATATGTGTAGAGAACCTAGGATAACCCATAATACAACTTGGAAGGATAGTAAGCAGATTGCCTGGGACTGCACCTGTACCGCCACGTTGGTAGACATCTACTTGTCACACTCAGAAACTGAAGAGGGCGGAGCTACCAGCTTCAGGGAGACCCAGAAGACCCGCAGATATGAAGGCCTTTCCCCTTGCTATAACTTCATCCCAATAGGATCGGAGACCCTTGGGGCAAGTGTGCTCTAAAGCTCCTCAAAGAGCTGAGTGAAGAACTCATCATAGAAACCAAGGCTCACAGGGCGGCCAGTTTCCTCTTTCTGAGACTCAGTGTTGCGATCCAGAGGGGAAATGCCTGCAATATTCTGGGCACGCGGCCCACCGCCGGGGAGCTGAAAGAAGTATTTGAGATGTAGCTCTGAGATGTTATCTATGTTGTTCTTGTCCCTACTGTATTTTTTAATGTATTTTGTCTTTAAATAAAGTCTATATAGAATATAGGGGGCGGTAGGAGAAGACAATATTCAAATATATATATATGTCGTGCCGAATAGGCAGAACTTGCCATCTTGGCTTAAATAGCAACGCTCATCTTGCCATATAGAACAAGCGAAAATTTGTGTATGCAATAATTTCGCCAAAATCATTTTGAAGCTAACGAAAAAAATATATTTCACTGTGTTTGTTTAGTATTAAATTATTGTAAACAAATCTAAAATATATTTAGTTGGGTTAGGCTAAAATAAATTGTTCTTGTTATAATAAGGTTAGGTAAGTTTTCTAAGATTCTTTTGGTGCAAAATTAAAAACTTTTACATTAACATTAATGAAAAAAATATATCTTTAAACGTATAAGAGGAAATTTTAGAAAGGACTTAATTTTAAATGAGTTCTTGCTAATTGACCAGTTTTACATATTCGGCACGACATATATATATATATATATATATATATATATATATATATATATATATATATATATATATATATATATATATATATATATATATATATATATATATATATATATGTATGTATAATACATTATAGGTCTCAAAACTCCAGCCCGTCGCGTTAGCCACTAGACCAGCTAGCCACAATAAGATTCATGAGAGGCCTGAGCTTGCTACCATCTGCAGCTCATAAGACTGCCATCCCCACGAGCCCCTTTGGGGCGGGGCAGATGGCAGACCAGAGGCCTAGCTTCTCCCTACGAGCCCTGTGAGGGCGGGGAATGTGGCTAGGCCTGGGGACACTTGGTCCCAAAAATGAGGCGGTACTTGTACCTCCTCCCATGGGAGACTTAAGTCTCGAGACACTCCCCAGATAGGGAGCCAAGGCCGGGTCACCACTACTTGGAAAAGACCCGGGCCGGGAGAATACCGGCGAATAAAAAAAAAAATAAGATTCATCCAACTAGGTATATTTCTACACCATAGTTGGATGAATCTTATTGTGGCTAGCTGGTATAGTGGCTAACACGACGGGCTGGAGTTTTGAGACTCTATGACCGCGGGTTCAATCCCGGCCGGGGGTATGGTTTACATTATAGGTATGTAAGTAAAGTGGAACCTGGAGTTATTTTAGCCCAATTTCAATCGAATAAATTGTTTTCAAAATACATTAGGAGACATTTGTGTAATACAGTAAATAAGTTGATAATTAAGTGGTAACTTTAACCACATGCTAAGTTCAGCATTATAAGTTGCCAGAAATTATGATTATTAAATTTAATTATTATTATTATTATTATTATTATTATTATTATTATTATTATTATTATTAACAAAAATAATTTTAATAATAATAATAATAATAATAATAATAATAATAATAATAATAATAATAATAATAATAATAATATGAACTAATTTTGTTATATATGTAAATATTAGAGTAAATAAAACTGTATTTAAGCTTCTCACCTACATGTGGTTGCTGGGGTCGAGTTACAGCTCCTGGCCTCGCCGCCCTTCTACGTCCACTCTCCTGGCTTCAAGATCCTTGTTGTACCTCTTCTTAAAGCTATGGATGGATCCCGCCTCTACTGTGTAATAGTTTGAGGACTACCATGCACACCATGGGTATGAAGTGACTAATACCCACACCATGGGTATAAAGTGACTAATACCCACACCATGGGTATGAAGTGTCTAATACCCACACCATGGGTATGAAGTGACTAATACCCACACCATGGGTATGAAGTGACTAATACCCACACCATGGGTATGAAGTGACTAATACCCACACCATGGGTATGAAGTGACTAATACCCACACCATGGGTATGAAGTGACTAATACCCACACCATGGGTATGAAGTGACTAATACCCACACCATGGGTATGAAGTGACTAATACCCACACCATGGGTATGAAGTGTCTAATACCCACACCATGGGTATGAAGTGTCTAATACCCACACCATGGGTATGAAGTGTCTAATACCCACACCATGGGTATGAAGTGTCTAATACCCACACCATGGGTATGAAGTGACTAATACCCACACCATGGGTATGAAGTGTCTAATACCCACACCATGGGTATGAAGTGACTAATACCCACACCATGGGTATGAAGTGACTAATACCCACACCATGGGTATGAAGTGTCTAATACCCACACCATGGGTATAAAGTGTCTAATACCCACACCATGGGTATGAAGTGTCTAATACCTACACCATGGGTATGAAGTGACTAATACCCACACCATGGGTATGAAGTGTCTAATACCCACACCATGGGTATGAAGTGTCTAATACCCACACCATGGGTATGAAGTGTCTAATACCCACACCATGGGTATGAAGTGTCTAATACCCACACCATGGGTATGAAGTGTTTAATACCCACACCATGGGTATGAAATGTCTAATACCCACACCATGGGTATGAAGTGTCTAATACCCACACCATGGGTATGAAGTGTCTAATACCCACACCATGGGTATGAAGTGTCTAATACCCACACCATGGGTATGAAGTGTCTAATACCCACACCATGGGTATGAAGTGTCTAATACCCACACCATGGGTATGAAGTGTCTAATACCCACACCATGGGTATGAAGTGTCTAATACCCACACCATGGGTATGAAGTGTCTAATACCCACACCATGGGTGCAAAATAAAGATATCAATCAAACTAAGAGAGTTAATTAATGGTTGTGTGTTGCTTCCTGGGTAAGAGGAAATGGGTAGTGGGTAGACTGTATACATGGCAGGACTCAAGTGATGGGTAGTGGGTAGACTGTATACATGGCAGGACTCAAGTGATGGGTAGTGGGTAGACTGTATACATGGCAGGACTCAAGTGATGGGTAGTGGGTAGACTGTATACATGGCAGGACTCAAGTGATGGGTAGTGGGTAGACTGTATACATGACAGGACTCAAGTGATGGGTAGTGGGTAGACTGTATACATGGCAGGACTCAAGTGATGGGTAGTGGGTAGACTGTATACATGACAGGACTCAAGTGATGGGTAGTGGGTAGACTGTATACATGGCAGGACTCAAGTGATGGGTAGTGGGTAGACTGTATACATGACAGGACTCTGATATTAACTGAGACAGAATTAAGTAAGTTTATTCAGACACAGATACACACAATTACAATTATCATACATAATGTAAAATACCCAGGATAACCCAAAAAAGTCAGACAAAGTGACTTGTTTCCATTGAGGTCCTCTTTACCTGTAAAATTCACTGTAGAAAAAAATGGTTGACCTGTATTCCGTTAAGTTGTGGGTCAGGAGTATATGTAGAGCAGGTGGGTACTGACCTACATCACCACGTAACCCAGCAGCGAAAACTATCCTCACAGTGTGTGTACGACTTTCATACCAGACGGGTGGTCCTGGGTTAAGAGGTTGGACCAACAGCTAGATCTTGACTCTCCCTCATTCCTATCTCCTCTCCGTGCAAACTCAAATAGGTAATTACAGTACATTGACATCATTCCACCAGTTAGGTCAGCGACACTGAAACACTGACTGATTTATGTAAAGAAGAAACCCTTGTGGGTGTGAGGTTGGAAGACTGGAGAGAGTAAGAATATATTGTAAGAGTGTTGAGAGCAGTGATGAGAGCAGTGATGAGAACAGTGATGAGAGCAGTGTTGAGAGCAGTGATGAGAGCAGTGTTGAGAGTTGGGGCTTAACACAGCTGCTGGGAAAATAATCAGTGTCAAGCGAGCATTATTCTAAATTGTTTAGTGAGTATAAAATATTCACAATGGCTTATAAAAGCGAGAAGGTTGAGTATGATTATGACCCGAGACAAGACAAGAAACCGCCCACAGGATGGGTATGGGGTGCATAATAAACATATTAAACTAACTAACTAACAAGACAAGAGAGTATACTAGGTAAGACCCTTGTGGGGTGAAAGGGGAAGTGGGGATACTGCAAGAGTAAGCGGGTTTCAAGACCCAAGGAGTTGAACTTATCAACTTGGGTAGCTCTGGGAATAAGTTGGACAAATGAGGATGGATTTGAGAAAGATGTACCAAGTATGGGTTAGTAGGTCTGCTGTAGTGTTTCTTCATTATTATGTTGTAAAAGCACTCACTGAGTTGTTTGCGGGGAATTGGGACTCGGCTCCTGGCCCCGTCTCCTACTCTACCTTCATGGTATCATTGACTTCTGACCTCTTTTATTGAATTTACCTCCACCACTGCCTCGGCCAAGTTATTCCACTTTTAGACCAGCCTATGACTCAAGAAA